ACTCCCAGGCACTTTTTTGTCCTTCATATGTTTGTGAATGGTTTCTAGGAGGATTTGCTTCAGTCTCAAGGCAGTCCCAAATACAATGTGGACTTCATTTTTTGAGAGTAGAAGAAACAAATGAAACCAAGTGCAGGGGCTAGAGGGAGAGGCTTAGTGCTGTGCTTGCACTTGAGAAGTGCTTGAGAAATGCTCTTCAGTGGGTCTTGCAGTTAGACCTGGTCTAATAAGAGGGCACAGACACAAGCTCTGCCAGGGAAGGTTTAGGTTGGATATTAGGAAGAGATTTTTTACAGAGAGAGTGATCAGGCATTGGAATGTGCTGCCCAGGGAGGTGGTGGATTCACCATCCCTGGAGGTTTTCAAGCTGAGACTGGATGTGGCACTTAGTGCCATGGTCTAGTAACCATGGTAGGGTTGGACTTGATGATCTTTGAGGTCTCTTCCAACCAGGTGGATTCTATGATTCTAGTACTGCTGCCCAGCAGCGAGAAGCTCGTGTCACAGGGGCAGTGAGTATTAGGACAGAAGTGTTCAGGCATGAGAGTTCCTCCCTGCTTGAGGATTCCCAGTGCTGTAAAGTCACTGGGATCTCCTGTAGAATGAACTCAGAAGATGAGTCCTGAAGTTTTATATTTAAATGGTATTATGTATGTGGATTTTGTTAGCACAAAGGAGGTTGAGCTAAATTGGTTCTAAGTATAGGGCTCTGTTGAGTTCTTCTATAGTTAGCACTGTTAATAAAGGAATAGCAACTTCATTGCATTGAGCTTACTGTGACTGTGAAGAAAAGATTCAACCTTTATTTTAATATGTTTATTAGTACGAAAATGTCTACATCTGAGTATTTAGCAATAATTCACTGTAATTCTGAAGTCTTTAATATTTAAAGAAAATCTATGGTGCAGCTCTTTTGGTAGAAATAGAAGAAAAATCTTCTGTGGTTGGAAAATTACAGACTGTGTAGGTGTTGAAATGCCTCCTGCTTCACATTCTTAATTGGCAGTGAGCCAGATACTAAGAATTTCTGGTTTAAAGGGAGATGCTTCCCTTCTCTTTACATTTTGATGGATAAGGGTAGCATTTTGGTTGCATTTCTTAGGAGTTAGGATTTCTTCCAACTTGATACAAAATAAATAAAATTTTCTATAAAATAGCTTCTGCAACTCACCTTGTCCTTTCGTATTGTTGTTGGGTAACACAAGGTATGCATCTTTTCCATGGAAGTTGTGTCATAAGAAGCTGTGGGCCTCATCCACCCTACGGCTCTCTTCCTGTGTGAGAGCTCTGGATTTCTCAGTTCTTCTTTAAAGCTTTGTTGGAATTAACATGTGATACTCAGATAAATCTGTCATAAACATGAATGACTTTAATATTGAGGGCTTTAAATTAGAAAATAAAGTGGTTTTGGATTATGCAAAAATATTGCAAACTATATATATATATCAGTTATTAATAATTAATTTAAGTCCATTTTCAGTAGCTGACAGAATCCTCTCCATTCACCGAGTTAAGACATTACTGAGAGATGTGTTTTTATTGAGAGTGCTCATACATGTTTATCAGTGGAGATTGCAGGGATGCTAATATTAAAATCAGTCCGAAAATCTAAACTCTAATCTATTCTTGCTGGTCTTGAATGACATTAAAAAGGCCTTTGATGTAGTTTTGCCCTGTCAAAACTTGTCAGCTTTCTTGTGTTTACAGACAACAATCAAAAATGTAGAGGGGCGTATATAGTAACTAACCAGAAAATTGGTTCCTAATACTTCTAAGAAAATCACATCATCTTAATTTTACATAGGTGGTAGTCTTAACAGAGGATTAAGGCACTGCAAAAATACTGATATGTTTTCTCAGTTGGAATGCTCACTGTATTAAACAAACCTACAGTGTTGGATTAGTCATTTTCTATATTCTTAAGGTATAAAGCAAGAGAAAAAGATAACTCAAAAATGCAGGAAAAGATGATTTTTTTAATGCTCTGGCAAGCCTTTTTCTGTTCCTTTTGAAATTATGTATCTGAAATTTGTCTTGTTTTCAGCCAGTTGAGGGTTCTTTTATCAATGATCTTGTTATTACACTCAGATATTGTGAATTTTTGTGTATTTTTTTACATCTATGTTGAACTCTCTCCTCAGCTACAAGTTTTGTTTGCTCTTTATTGTTGTAAATGCATAGGCCCAATAAAGGTGAAGTCTCTGCTCCACTCATGATTCCCAGAGTTTGCTCAGTGAGTCAGAATGTTGCAGCCCCATTGATGGCAATGTGTGGTAACCTCAGTACCACGTTCACAGCTTTCTGCTCACTTGTTACCCATCTTAGAATTTAGGATAAATCTTCTATTTGGATTCTTATCTATATAATATTTAAGGTGCATATGTTCCATCCTAAAAAA